GATTAATGCTTATTAAAGCTATAACGTTATTCAGATTAAGAGCAGATTTGCATTTTGATTTTGGACATGCACCCGAAGCTCAAAGTGTAACTTGTTTGTCTGTTTTGAAGCGTTAGCCCCGGGACCGATTAAATACCGGGTTTCGGTACCCATCCCTAGTAATATCAAGTTTTTTTGTATTTTGTTACATATTCAAATTTTTTTCCAAGCGTCTTAGAGATGTTTCTACAGTTCTTACGGAATTTAGTCTGTCTCCATTTTTTTCTGTTTCTTTATGTAACCGCCGACAGGCTTGATGATGGTGAGATTAGATTTAGTTTTTTCGAGACTCATTGTGCATAAAAGTATCTTACTGAATTACAATTTATGGCAAGAGAAATGTTTGGAAATGCAAATTGATACTTCCTGCTGGCATGCTAAAGCAAAATATAGAGATTAAAACATTTCTTTCTTTGTGAATCCAATGCAATATTCCAAGCCCCCACATAAAGGCTAAGATATTTTTGGTATTTATGCTGGAATTATTAATTTTTTTATGAACAAAAACATTATTGATATTTAATTAACCACCATTAATTTTATGATTCTATAAGTCTCAATGCACGATCCTCAATAAAAAAGGGAAATTGCTTTTTACTGTCTTTTTTTTCTTGAGATGATTCAAGAAAAACTCTAAACTTGTTGTTAAACACTAAATTATTTTTTTTCATATTGATAATACACAAAACGTTACAGAACAGAAAACTATAGAAAGTAATAATGATTGGCCTCTGTATGTTTTGTAAGCTATTATTTGCTACTCTATGATGATACTGCTATGGAAACTTCTATGAATTTCAAGTCCATACTGTAATGCAGTATTTATATTGAATTAATCAGTACTGCTTATTTTCAAATAAGATTTTTGCAGCTTCTGTTCCGTTGAAAACCAAAGAAAACTGGCAACAACTGAAACATTATCCCATTCATTTAGCTTGACTACAAGAAATCTATAGTCTCCACACATTTCTGAGTCTGCCTCCTGCTTTCCTTTGGAAGGAAGATTGGCCTCCAAATGTATTGAACATTTGACACAGAATGTGAAATATTATTTGATTGTGGGACTGTTGTGTGTTGGTTTTCAGAGATGTGTCCCGAGGCTATGAAGACGTCCCTGTGACATGCGTGAATGGGGTGGACCATGAGCCCTGCCCCAGCAACTTCAAATACGTTCCAGAGAACTGTTTTACCTCTCAAGTGAATATAGACGAGAACATAACGCATTTACAGGTAAGAGGCTCAGAGAATCGTAGTGTCAAAAGCCATAACAAGGTTAACGCTGTTATTACAGCTATATGAAATGCTCGTCTCTCTCTCTCTCTCTCACTGGAATAGCACTGCAGTTGTAAAGATGACTGTGCATCAAGCAGCTGTATCTGTGGCCAGCTCAGCATGCGCTGTTGGTATGACAAGGTAAGATGCTGCTAGTGCTGAATTATTCATGTTAGCAAAATAAATTACATAGGAATAATTCAGTGACATAAACAATAGATGTTGCCAATCCCAGCTCTTTCGCAGCTGTTCCACAACATATTACCGGTAATAGTCACTAATCATGATCGTGCTGTTATGCCATCATGACCATATGATTTGTGTAATGCTTATTATTAAAAATAGTAGTATTTATGATTTCTTTGTGCCCAGGATGGCCGCTTGTTGAAAGAGATCTGCAGGGATGATCCACCCTTCCTGTTTGAGTGTAACCATGCCTGTTCCTGTTGGAGAACATGCCGAAATAGAGTGATACAGAATGGCCTTCGGTAATATAACTAGTATATACTGTATGTATTTTTGCATATTCTCTGAATGTGTCGTAAACTTTGAATTTACGTACTCACAACTTCATAATTGTCTCGTCTTTAGGGTCAGACTGCAGGTGTTTAGGACTGAGAGGAAGGGCTGGGGGGTCCGGGCACTGCAGGATATTCATGAGGGAACTTTCGTATGCGAGTATGACCCTTTCTTTAGATCTATTGCTTTACACATTATTAAAAAAAATACACAAAAATAAGCATGAATCCACAACAAAATTATTCAAAGGCATTGCGACTTTTCCAGTTGTTTTTGATTTACTGGATAAGGATTTTTAAATATATAATTTTGCTCATTTCTACCCAATAATTTTTTAGGGCGTGGTACATCTAGAAAAAATTTATATTTGTTATAAAAATGTCAGGTGTACAAATGGCACTTTTAAAATTATATATGCAGGACAATCCTGGGAATCCTGGTTCTTTAAAGAAAAATAAATAAATTAATATTAATATTAAAATAATATTGGAATATTTCCATTAGTTGTTTTGGCTTATTTTAAATCATTTTAAGTTATCGTGAGGCTTCCTTGGAAGTTTGCTGGGGCCCATTATAAATGGCTTTTATTGTAGTTGTCTCTTCATGTTAACCTGGTATAAAAGTATTTTAAAATGAAAAAATTACATGCAGCATAATAAGGAAGCTATGCCTGCATTCTGAAGAACTCTCCTACTGACTGCAGTGTCAATGATATTAATTTAATGCAAATTTGCTACAAAAATGAAAGCCATTAGGGGAATTATCAATTATTCAGACATGATTAATCTCATGCTGTTTTGGTCCAATACTTGTGCCCTGAGGATTTTTCTCTGTGTGCAGGTTTGCAGGTGAAATCATTTCAGATGGAGAAGCTAATGTTCGAGAATATGACTCGTACATGTTCAACCTAGACAATAAGGCAAGTCTTGTCAAAATGATGCTAAAATAGAAGATTATCATTTTCTCAAGTGAGTGCTTTTCATACATGTCACCTTCAGGGGGCGCTAAAGTATATTAAAATGTGAATAGAGCTCAAGCACACCTCTTTTGAATCGTTTTATGTTTGTGTGTATTTAATGGTGATTTTTTTTTTTCTAGGTTGGAGAGGTCTACTGCATTGATGCCCAGTTTTATGGTAATGTTAGTAGGTTTATGAATCACCTTTGTGAACCCAATCTATTCCCGGTACGGGTGTTCACCAAACACCAGGACATGCGCTTTCCTCGAATTGCACTCTATGCAAGCAAGGCTATTCAAGCTGGAGATGAGCTTGGGTAAACCTTTATATTTTTTTTCTTCCAGCTCTTTTTTTCCTCATTATTTGTTTAATGTATCCATTGATATATTTGTAATCAAAGCAATTCCTCAGGTTGCTTGAATTAAAACAGATTTTCTTTGCTCTTTCATCAGGTTTGACTATGGTGATCCCTACTGGCAAATCAAGAAAAAGTACTTCTGTTGTCAGTGTGGCTCTGCAAAATGTAGATACTCGGAGACCATTCTGGGCCAGAATCACGCAGACAGCTCAGTTCAAGCGCTCGGTGATCAGACCGTTGCTCAGGTGGAACAAATCCAGTCAGCTAACACAGCTATAGCAATAACTCAACCCTGAGCCCTTCACAAGTACAACAGGATATGCTGAGATCTTTAACGAATAAATACGATCAGGAGTGCAACTCATCATTTCCTAAATCTCAGCTTCAAGGAAGGACAATTTGTGCAGAGATACAGCATCCTTTATTTTATCACCACGCTGTTGAGGGCATTTGTAATAAGACTTTTAATCAAAGGTGTTTTGGGCCTTTTTTATCTGAATTTGTCTCACAAAGATTTGATTTGCTTAGGATGATGGTAAGGCTCCTTAATTGTATGAGATATAGGCACTACCATATTAGACTTTTATACATTTTTAAACATAAACAGTTACATACTTGGTATAAAAAACAGGGTTTTTAGCTGATTTTCATAAGCAAAAACGAAAGTAGTAGTAGAACAGATGGACATGTTTTGCTGCCTTTTTTTACTATATATATTATAGTGTGCTTCAGTGAAACACTACATATTACAAGCACTAGTGTGCTTCATATATATATATATTATACATTTATTCAGCAAAGACACATTAAATTGATCAAAGTGACAGTTAAGACATTTGTAATATTAAAACTGATTTTGAACTTTCTATTAATCAGAGAACCCTAAAAACATGTATTACGGTTTCCTTTCCACAAAAATATTTTTTATTGATAATAACAAGAACTGTGTTTTGAGCAGCAAATCAGCATATTAGACTAATTTCTGAAGGAACATGTAACTGAAGACTGAAGTAAATGCTGCTGAAAATTCAGCTTTGCCTTCACAGGAATAAATTACATTTGAAAATATATTAAAATGGAGAACATTTATATAAAAATGGTAATAATATTTCACAACATTCCAGTTTTCCAAATAAATTAAGCATAAGAGACTTCTTTCAAAAACATTTAAAAATGTTATTAAAAAGGTAATAATAAAAAACAGGGTTTTTAGCTGATTTTCATAAGCAAAAACGAAAGTAGTAGTAGAACAGATGGACATGTTTTGCTGCCTTTTTTTACTCCATGTCTTCTCAAGAGCAGAGATCAGGGCTGTTTTCTAATCAGTTTTTCCATGTAGCCTATTGAAATTTCACTATGAAATGGTTACAGAATTTTAATATCATACCTGTGATAAATAAAGCTTTCAGTGATGTTTTTAATTATTAATTTGATCATATGTAATGTAGCTGTGGCCTATCTGTCAGTCTCTCATGCTGGACCAGTTGTCAACACCCTCTGAATTTCACTGAAGCACACTATTCATTTTTTCATGCATTATGTGTGTGTATTGAGGACTTTTTACTAATAAAACCAAGAGATGTGTTTTCCTCATTTTTTTAAAGGAAACCTAAGCAGTTTTGGGGCTTGAATTGAGGAATTGATTAAACAAAAAAATTAAGGAAAGAAGGCTACCTATTTATTTTAAGAGAATTAGCTCAAATTTTGTAGTTTTATTTTAGAGGTGACTGTTAGTTCCCAGCATGCTTTGCATATAGCTGGATATGGAGAGTCAATTTTGAAATGAAATGCTATTTTATGTGTTTTTGATGTTTAATGTTCAGTTATGTTTGACATTTGAAAGAGTTTCTGTTACATTGAAGTTTCCATTGCACAGTGCAATCGTTACCATTGTGCAGAAGAGTAGAGCTTATGGTTATGGCTACTACTCCTTTAAAGCATTAAGCCTTGTTCAATGAGCAGTAGCTTTGCTAGTGCTAGTGCAGTATTACCAGTATTTCTCAAGTATTTTCCTACTTGAGCTGTTTGGCTGTATACAGTCTTTTAAATGTACTAAATAACTCGAAGTCAAATACAATCGGACCTCACTCAAAATCACAGACTTTTGAGAATCAACTTAAAATAAATGAGCTCATTTCACTAATTATATTAAATTAATTGTGTCATAGATTAATTATTTAGGAGATTTCACATGATTTATTCAGGTAGATTCCATTAAAAAATCAAGGCTGAAAAACTACTCAAAAATATGATGTGTAATATTGTTACCTTAATTTTTTTAAGTAAATAGCTTGTTCCATTTTTTACAGTGATATATATACACACACACACGACCGTTTTAATAAGAGTATAGGCCCTATACTGTATATAGGCCTACTGTGTCAGTATCAGTGTACTGAATGTGAAACAGATCTTCTTTATGCACCAAGAGCTTGTAACACTCCAAAGAGAAAGGAAAAAATGAAATTGCATCATATGACCCCTTTAATGGAACAACAGTCTATTCCTGCTGTCACTCACTTCTCTTGATTGAATAGCTTTTTGTAACTTCAACAAGGTTTGGTCTTTAATTTATACAGTGAAATATGCAGTTACTACATTTGTTTACTTTTACATTTCTATGCCTGAAAATTGTTTATTTGATTTGTATCTTTGCTCTATTGTATTAATTTGTGCAGCTGCATTAGTTTGATTATTTGTTATTATTTTCTTTATTTTTATTTGACCATAGTCCTTTTTTCCCTGAATAGCACATACCGAACCGTGACCCTAAAACCGTGATGTGCTCAAAAACAACATCTGGTCAGTCGTTACATCAATATTTTACGTCAATATTTCTAGTAGTACACTCTGAATTTCACTGATTTTGAGCAGTATTGACTGTGCCTAACACTAGCCTACATGAAGACACTTCCATGTTTTGTTCACATAAATAACAGGCACTCGTATATCAACCTCAAATCCACTGTGTGCTTTAAAAACAAATGACAAGTTGCTGTAAGGATACAAAGTTGATTGATCAAGGAAGTAAGAGGTTACGTAGTTTGTTATAGAGAAAAATTTGAAAGTATCTTCAAGTAGGCTAATGTAAAACATCGACCTTAATTTAGTCAAATCGAAAGTTCCATTAAAAAAAAAACATTAGAAATTCCCGCGGGATCACATGTCTCAAAAAACGCTTTTCTTCGATTTTCTAACGGGTTTTAGTAGGCTACTACAAACTGCACAGCTCTATTGAAGAGTTAATGTAAATGTGAAAGAGACCGAATACCATCCGAAAGGCGTCAGACAGACAGGAGATAACCACCCGCCGGTTCCACCCTTTTCTAAATCAACGATACAGTTGTGGGAAGTGCAGAGTCCTGATTTACCCCACCCGCCGGTTCCACCCTTTTCTAAATCAACGATACAGTTGTGGGAAGTGCAGACGCACCAATCTCTCACAGAGTGTGTCGAATTCTGGTTAACTTGCTTTAAAGTAACCGTCCAAATCGTTTGAGTAACGTTTAATTCACTGCCGGGGTCTGGAAGGGTAGGCTACATGCTGTATTTTCCCCTCTTGCCCCAGTGCCATGGATACTGTAGCGGTACAGGTGGAGCCACTGACACGCTGCTTCACAGTCACGTGATCCGTTTTAGAAGAAGCAGCGGCTGCAGAAATTGGTTACAATTTCATCGCCAGGCTACGGTCCAGTGGAAAAAGGGTGTTAATATCGTTTGCGCCTTTTCATTTCAACGATATAAACGCGAGGGTGACGGACCGCGTGTGTTATCATCTGTTAGAGCGAAGAGTGCAGGCAACATCGGAGGAAAACATCGAAGCATCTGCAACAGCGCAGGGAAGCTGGATCAATTACAATCTGTGGGCTTGACTCCATTCAATCGCAACACAGTTTGTAAAGGCACCTTCGCTGGGTGGACGTAATTCATGACATGGCTGATTATCTAAATCCTTCAAGTGAGGCGGATTTACCCCACCCGCCGGTTCCACCCTTTTCTAAATCAACGATACAGTTGTGGGAAGTGCAGACGCACCAATCTCTCACAGAGTGTGTCGAATTCTGGTTAACTTGCTTTAAAGTAACCGTCCAAATCGTTTGAGTAACGTTTAATTCACTGCCGGGGTCTGGAAGGGTAGGCTACATGCTGTATTTTCCCCTCTTGCCCCAGTGCCATGGATACTGTAGCGGTACAGGTGGAGCCACTGACACGCTGCTTCACAGTCACGTGATCCGTTTTAGAAGAAGCAGCGGCTGCAGAAATTGGTTACAATTTCATCGCCAGGCTACGGTCCAGTGGAAAAAGGGTGTTAATATCGTTTGCGCCTTTTCATTTCAACGATATAAACGCGAGGGTGACGGACCGCGTGTGTTATCATCTGTTAGAGCGAAGAGTGCAGGCAACATCGGAGGAAAACATCGAAGCATCTGCAACAGCATCGCGCGCAGGGAAGCAGGATCTTACAATCTGTGGGCTTGACTCCATTCAATCGCACCACAGTTTGTAAAGGGACCTTTGCTGGCTGGACTTATTTCATGGCATGGCTGATTATCTAAATCCTTCGAGTGAGGCGTGAAAATGATCCTTATTAGATTTGACCGGTCGCTTTTTGGTGGATTGTGTACCGTGGAGCGATAAACTTTAACTGGCGTTCGGTTCATAACAGAGATGTGTTTAGATGTGCTCTGAATGGCTGGAATACTTTAAGGAACTCCCTGTGTGTGTGTGTGTGTGTGTGGTGGCTGAACAAGCTCTTGTGGATGCCAGACCTGTACAGATGAGAAGAACTCGTGGCTGGGACTACATCGCGCGTTGTGATGCTTCTTCTTTACTCTCTGTCTGATGTGAATTTGGATTTTTATAGTCAAATCTGCGCGTTTCTAGAATGGATCGCTTCGAAGACGATCTCCCGACCCGGTATGGAGGCGGTGGCTCTCCAGCTGGTCCAGGCAGAGGGGCCAGCCGGCAGCCAGGCCCCCCGGGCGGACAGAGGATGTATAAGCAAACAATGGCCCAAAGAGCCCGGACAATGGCCATATACAACCCGATACCGGTCAAACAGAACTATCTCTCAGTCAACCGATCCCTTTTCATCTTCAGCGAAGATAATATTATTCGGAAATATGCAAAGAAAATAACAGAGTGGCCATATCCTTTACATAAATCACAGGCACTTGTAAGAGGGCAAAATAGTACTGCAAACAGACCAATAATTCTGGTTCACCCATCAGTCGTAGTAAAACAATTGTTAAGGTCGCGAAAGTTTTGGCGGAAATAGAGGCATCGTTTTATTCAACACATAAGCAGTTATGCTAATATCGTGTCGGTTACAATCACTCTTATTGGATTTAAATGACATGCAGCATGCAGGGTGTTGTCTCGCTAATGGAGCAAACATTATTACAAAAGGGATCAGTCGCTTTCCTTTCACGAAATGCCTCTGGAAAAGGGCTCAGGTTATCTTTAAGTATATTTGTGACTGGCATGTAATTCGTAATTGTTTGCATGCGATATATAGGCTAATGCAAGTCTCGCGACGTAAAATGTCATTTAGAGTTTTTATTGTTTTCGTCCCTTTCACATCCAGTCATTGCGGTATTGATTCTTTTCAGTCAGGAAACGAGCCTCTCTGTCGCTCATGGCAACCAAAACAGCTCTTGCATTAGGCTGCCTAAATTGCTGTGCAGTCTCCGGAGACTTGCCCCTGGGAATACCAGTCATAAAGTAACTGAGATATACCTGCGTTATAATACGTTAGAATATAGCTTTCGCAGCTTATATTGTATAATGCAGTCAAAAAGCAATAAAGTTGATAGTCTAACCAATTTAAACGGAACAGGTTAGTGCTTTAAAGTTATGGGGTCCTCAAATCTGAATTGTTCCGAATGTTAATGATTTCGCGAAACTTGAGTATTTCCCTTTCACGTGAAAAAGCTTGAGGGGCTGTTTTAGTCGCTCTCCAAGGTGCTGAAACACATACGCATTTAAAACTCGTCCAGGGAAATGCGGAAGTGATGGAGGCCAATTGAGCGTCTAAATGTAAAATGCCCAGTTTTACCACAAGTGAATAAAAATTAGAATTAACATTTCGATTCTGGTTTCTTAACATTTAATGAACAAACAAGACATTTGACGTCTTGTTTATCTGACAAAAATGTGTTTTTGCAGCAAAAAAATTGCATTTTTTAAAAATGAGAAGGCCAACACTGATTGACCAATACAAAAATAAAATAAATTAACCAAATGCTAAAATTGTTATCAAGTTCTGTTTTTAGTCATAGTCACAAACAATCAAGCAATGAGTTGTTTCATCAAACAAGCTATAGCTAATCACTGATAGTTGAGATACGGTACAAAACATGTCTAACAGCTTCACCTGCCAGCCTTACCTGTGAAATCAATTAGATGGAGCTGAAAATCCGTTTGAACCATAATGGTGGGTAAAACACATTTTGTGAGAAATGGAAATTGTACCCAAACATCCAGTTCAATACCTCCGAACATGCTGAAGCTGAATGAAATAACCCAAAATACTTCCTTGATACATAAACCATTTTTTGTTTTTATTTGTTTTGCCTGTTTTGTCCCAGTTCTCAAGAACTGGTTTAATTTTAAGCACTAAGGGAGTATAATTAATCAAATTCCCCATTTATTGAGGTTGTCCTTATGTTCAGACTACAATGAGTCTACAAGCCTGACGCAAATGTGTTTAGAGAAGTGCCACGGGAAATAATTATCCTCCTCCCCACTAACCAGCAGCTCTGTGAGGAATGACGCAGTTCACACAGCTCTTGACTGAGCCAAAAGGTGCATGAGATGAAGTGAGAGAGTTTTTAATCAATAATTCTCATGAAAAAACTTACAGTGGAGTTATAATACGGTGCATTTTAAATATTTGTCCAATAAAATCTAGGTGGCTCATTAACGAGAATTACTGATAAAAACGGTCTCTCTTCATCTCAGGTACCATATGACTCAGGCAAGAGCTTTGTGAACTGCGTCATAGACACCTTCAAGTGTATATTAGCTCTAAATGCCAGTCATTTATTCTTTATACTGTTCTTCATTGATTTCTAGTTGACAAACTTGCTTGATGATCATGTTATTGCTGTGAATTAATTCCAAATATTTATATCCTTAACGCCATCACTCCATTTGAGTACATGATTCTCGCCACCATTATAGCAAACTGCATTGTACTGGGCCTAGAGCAGCATTTACCAGCTTTAGACAAGACACCCATGTCAAAACGACTGGTAAGTTGGACTTTCCCACCCTAAACAGCAATTTAAAACATAAACATAAAACTGTCATTTGAGTATCCTTATTCTTTATGTTCTAGTCTCTTTTGGAGCATTACCATAAAAAAAAAATTCTATTCAAATGCAGAAAGCTTTTACTTTCTAAACTTTTCATTGTTTTCACCAAAGTCTTTTTAAATAGCAGTTATTACTGTAGGTCAACAGTTTGTGCAGCCCACATTTGCATTATTCATTTAGCAGACACTTCGATCCTTTGTGAGCTGCTGTCGGTCATTCAGCAGTGGATCTCTTAACAGCCCTCCTAAACTGATCCACAGATCTTTGATGATGCTTGACATTTGATTGACATTTCAGCGTCTATAATAAAAGAGGATAATAAACTTAAAATGGACTGTCCTCTAGGACTTTTAGCATTCTGTGTTATTCTGTATCACATAAGAGATTTTTTTAAACAAAAATGAGCGCTTACATATGCTATATTATTTTAAAAATCTATTGCTTACTCTTTGATTTCGTTTTTGTCTCAGCATCTTACTTCCATAGTAAGGTTGAATATGTGATTCACTTATGTACTGGTATTAGAGGTATTTGCTTTAAATATAAAATAGCTGATTTTATAGCAAAAGGCTCCCTATTTTCCACCTTTAATGTTTCTTCATTTGCATGTGTTGTGAGGATTTGCAGCGCGTTTCTTCATTTGCATGTGTTGTGAGGATTTGCAGCGCGTTTCTTCATTTGCATGTGTTGTGAGGATTTGCAGCGCGTTTCTTCATTTGCATGTGTTGTGAGGATTTGCAGCGTGTGTGTTGTCAAACTGATGAAGATGTTTTCTTAATTTGCTGGTGTTTTTTCAATTTGCATGTGTTTTCTTAAGTTGCAGCGCGTTGAGCTCTCTCGGCCACCGTAGTTTTTGCAGCAAAAAAATTGCATTTTTTAAAAATGAGAAGGCCAACACTGATTGACCAATACAAAAATAAAATAAATTAACCAAATGCTAAAATTGTTATCAAGTTCTGTTTTTAGTCATAGTCACAAACAATCAAGCAATGAGTTGTTTCATCAAACAAACTATAGCTAATCACTGATAGTTGAGATACGGTACAAAACATGTCTAACAGCTTCACCTGCCAGCCTTACCTGTGAAATCAATTAGATGGAGCTGAAAATCCGTTTGAACCATAATGGTGGGTAAAACACATTTTGTGAGAAATGGAAATTGTACCCAAACATCCAGTTCAATACCTCCGAACATGCTGAAGCTGAATGAAATAACCCAAAATACTTCCTTGATACATAAACCATTTTTTGTTTTTATTTGTTTTGCCTGTTTTGTCCCAGTTCTCAAGAACTGGTTTAATTTTAAGCACTAAGGGAGTATAATTAATCAAATTCCCCATTTATTGAGGTTGTCCTTATGTTCAGACTACAATGAGTCTACAAGCCTGACGCAAATGTGTTTAGAGGAGTGCCACGGGAAATAATTATCCTCCTCCCCACTAACCAGCAGCTCTGTGAGGAATGACGCAGTTCACACAGCTCTTGACTGAGCCAAAAGGTGCATGAGATGAAGTGAGAGAGTTTTTAATCAATAATTCTCATGAAAAAACTTACAGTGGAGTTATAATACGGTGCATTTTAAATATTTGTCCAATAAAATCTAGGTGGCTCATTAACGAGAATTACTGATAAAAACGGTCTCTCTTCATCTCAGGTACCATATGACTCAGGCAAGAGCTTTGTGAACTGCGTCATAGACACCTTCAAGTGTATATTAGCTCTAAATGCCAGTCATTTATTCTTTATACTGTTCTTCATTGATTTCTAGTTGACAAACTTGCTTGATGATCATGTTATTGCTGTGAATTAATTCCAAATATTTATATCCTTAACGCCATCACTCCATTTGAGTACATGATTCTCGCCACCATTATAGCAAACTGCATTGTACTGGGCCTAGAGCAGCATTTACCAGCTTTAGACAAGACACCCATGTCAAAACGACTGGTAAGTTGGACTTTCCCACCCTAAACAGCAATTTAAAACATAAACATAAAACTGTCATTTGAGTATCCTTATTCTTTATGTTCTAGTCTCTTTTGGAGCATTACCATAAAAAAAAAATTCTATTCAAATGCAGAAAGCTTTTACTTTCTAAACTTTTCATTGTTTTCACCAAAGTCTTTTTAAATAGCAGTTATTACTGTAGGTCAACAGTTTGTGCAGCCCACATTTGCATTATTCATTTAGCAGACACTTCGATCCTTTGTGAGCTGCTGTCGGTCATTCAGCAGTGGATCTCTTAACAGCCCTCCTAAACTGATCCACAGATCTTTGATGATGCTTGACATTTGATTGACATTTCAGCGTCTATAATAAAAGAGGATAATAAACTTAAAATGGACTGTCCTCTAGGACTTTTAGCATTCTGTGTTATTCTGTATCACATAAGAGATTTTTTTAAACAAAAATGAGCGCTTACATATGCTATATTATTTTAAAAATCTATTGCTTACTCTTTGATTTCGTTTTTGTCTCAGCATCTTACTTCCATAGTAAGGTTGAATATGTGATTCACTTATGTACTGGTATTAGAGGTATTTGCTTTAAATATAAAATAGCTGATTTTATAGCAAAAGGCTCCCTATTTTCCACCTTTAATTTGCTTTATTTTACTGTATTGCATTGCTGTAGTGTTCTATGGAAGAACAACAGTTTAATGAAAGTTGTAAAATATTCAGTGCGGTTGCCACTGAGAGATTTCTGATTCTCTTTACATTTAGTTTTCATTGTAAACTTGCGTCTTGTGTCTTATTTTGTATGAATATCTACTCATATCTTTCCTCACTCATAACAGGATGACACTGAACCCTACTTCATCGGAATATTTTGCTTCGAGGCCGGGATCAAGATCATCGCTCTAGGCTTTGCTTTTCATAAAGGCTCCTACCTCCACAATGGGTGGAATGTAATGGATTTTGTTGTTGTGTTGACGGGGTAAGTTCAAATATTCTTCAGATTGTCACTCACTGAATAGTTACTGTAAGTTTTTAATGTCAATTTTAAACTTTAAACTAAAGGAAAGTGCTATATATAAAACATATGGGCATGGTCTGTCACAAGAAAAAAAAAAGCCAATTGTTTTGTCATTTTAATGCTATGGTTGACGAAAACCTCAAGTGGAACTGAGTTGAGAAGCAGATTGGTCTGCTTGACCCTGGCACAGACAGTGTAGAGCGGAGGTCCTGTACATAGATACATGATGTTTGTGAATCTTGCCTGCAGTCAGGCCAGGGGTCTGGATGTGGGGGATATGGCTTGTGCCCCAGTGTAAAACTATAAACCAGAGGAAAGCATTAGATATAAAACATTTGGCCATGGTCTGTCACAAAAGGAAATGGCCAATTGTTTTGTCATTTTCGTGCTATTGTTGACAAAAATCTCAGTGGAGTTGAAAAGCAATTTGGTCTGCTTGACCCTGGCACAGGCAGTGTAGCGGAGGTCCTGTACATAGATAAATGATGTTTGTGAATCTTGCCTGCAGTCAGACCAGGGGTCTGGAAGCAGGGGATATGGCTTGCGCTCCAGTAGTACAACTGCCTGGTGCTTTGGAGGTGTAATGGGGTGGAGAGGAAGCTACTTCATCTCCAGCAAGGCATACAGAGGGGACATACTGATCCTTATTTAAAGCATTATAATCTGGTGTAGATGATTTTTGCTGTCAGCATTGTTTGCCCACAAATATCACTGTATTACCTTTGGTTGTTTTTGAAGTGTTTCTGAAAAGGAGGCGAACATTCAATCCCAGGATGCAGCTTGTTTGTTTAGATGTTCCTGTTACTGTGGAACTTATGGTGGTTATTGCATTGCAATTGTTTTAGTTGCATTTCCAATATTTGTGAGTGAAAAAAGTCATATTATCACAAGGGATTTTCTCATACGGTGTAGTGCAGTGCTATTTTCACTAAGTATCGATTAAATTATTGTTTAGTACACTGAAAAATGTTGGTGTAGAAACTGTTTTCCATCAGTAATTGCTAGTAAATTTCACAATCAGTTACAAAGAAATGGCAAATAACATGTGAATTAAACAACATTTTTAAGTAGAAAAATTCTTCTTCTTTTATTTATTTTGTTTTATTTACAACATTTTTATTTACAAATAATTTTCTTACAGTGTAGCAGGGTTATTATAGTTTACTGAAACGAAAACTATAAACATTTTAATTACTTGAAATTAAATAAATGTTGACTGAAATAAAATAAAATATAAAAAAACATTTTTGTTTCAGGTAGTTTACCAAGGAAACATTTCTCATTTTCATTCAGTTTAACTTGATGTTAAAATTATTCAATTAAAACTGAAATTAAAATTAATAATTAAAACATATATAGACATAAAAAAATAAATGACAAAAAACACAACTAAATAATTAAAAGGTTAACCAAAATTAAAATGAATATGGAAAGTATAAAATAATCTAATTAAAAATACACTCTTAAAAAATCTGTAAAAAAAAAATAGGGCACAATGTACTGTATTCTTATGAAGGAATTTTCTGCATTAATATTTTACAGGTGTTTTACCTGTATTTTGAATTTTTTACTGCATTGGGTTGTGCTTTAGGGTTAACGGAAATGCCTCTAAAATTAATGGATAATCCTGGCAGAAAATTATCAATACATTCTGCTTTTTTTTTGACAGTGTATTAATAAATAAACGCTGTAATATTATTTCAATAGAGGATCACCAGCAGACTTGTATGATATTGAAGGAAGAGTTTTTGTCATTTAAAATGGACAACAAGTGTGACAACATGACTGGCTCCACTGGTTGAGGGGCCCCAGGGTTATGCGCTCATCCCGAGGGACTGTGCCGTGACGGGCATGGTGTTACAGTGGAGCTGGTCCCTGTATGGTTACTGGCACCACTAGGGAGTGTCCTTAGAAAAGGGTCCTGAGGAGGGCTTTGGATTATGTTGAGGAAATGTGTTGTGTCATCACAGCAAGACTGTGATGAGCTTTTGTTAGTAGACGTTATGTGGTGTGAGGCTTGATAGCTGAGAATTTTTATCGATACTAATTTAGCCTGAGATATATGATGCATCCAAGAGATCCAATAATGCATTACAAGAAAGCAGACACTCATTTTATATTCTTCTAAGTCTGTTTCCCATAACACACATTGTTTCCTTTTGCTTATTCTTATTCGTAATAAACCTAGAAGAAAAAGTTTAATTAAATAAATAAATAATAAATACAAACAATATATATATTTAAAATATATATATATATATATATAAATATAGAATATAATACATAATGTAATCATATATTTTAGTTTTTTAAATGTAAATATCTTGAAATGAGAATTTCTTCAAATTTGAGTCATTTAATACACACGTTTAAAAGTCTGAAAGAACATGATTTAAAAAGGAGTCTCAAACTCAGTTGATAAATGCCAGTTGAACATTAACAAAAAATGCAAATGTTTTTACAAAATGATTTTTTTTTATTCATCATACAGTTATTGGCTCTATATTGTTGGCAGTTTGACGGATGTTTACCCAATTTTTTGGGACGGATGTGAGCATAGGTTTGTTGTTGTTGTCAACTAGGCCTTTTTTAAGCCATATTTAAAAAATTATAGTATGTTAATATACTTCGCTGCTGCAAGTGTAAGAATCATTAAAGAACAGTATAAGACAACATTAAAGGCCAAACCAAAATGCAAAAAGTGAAACAACTGATTTTCATGCTTGATTTAAGGATGGACTATGAATGCTTGAGGGTCCATATGAAACTAGCGGTAGTTTAAGACCCTTGATTTAGAATCTCCTGCTTTTCATGAAATATACGTGCTTATATTATATTTCACTCCTCCATCTGTTGAGGGCTGTGTAGGTGGTATAGAATATCCCACTGCTTCTAGCACAACATCAAGAAACAAACTGAAATTTTAAACACCATCTGTCCAGAGCTTTTTCTTTTGCTTTGTCCTGTTTGTTCGCTGCAGTCTGGGGAGTCATTGAGTCATGTTCCCTCAAAAAATTTTAATATTCCTATTACAGGTCTTCTGTCTTTCTTCTTTTATCTAGTTCCAGCTCCACTTGTGTCCAACTGTATGTGGCAAAGACATTGTATATATACATTGATCCCATTCACTGCATTAACAGCCTATTCCACCTTACTGTTGAAGAAATAGATTTTGCAGTAGATGCACCTCTTAAAGCAATATCCTGATTTCCCCTCTCTCGATTCTCTGGGAGTAGATTGGGTTTCTGTGGTTGCCACAGAGGACCTTTACCTGTCAATACTAGTGTGTTCCTGTGGGTGACTAAAGTCATTTGCTTGTAGGGAGACAGTATTTTAGACATTCAGGGTGTCGCAATCCTCCCTTAGTGCGGACCTAATCGTGCCAATGTCATTAATTGATGAAGACAGTTTGAAATGCTTGTCAGGGTTTAAAAACTAGGTGATGAGCACATTTGTAATTGATCTCTGAGTAGATTTTCTCTGCTGAATGTACTGTATCATGTTGTGATCTCTTTGATGGCAATGGCATAGCGTGTGTTCTGTCTTCTGCGTCTTTTAGCACATAGACCAGACGTGTGGGATCGAACAATCATGAATTTTGCATGGAAGTGGAACATAATGAATCAACTCTCCCACTGTTGCTACTTTTCCTTCATCTCTGATGATGTTCAAACTAAGGATTATGATTGTCATGATACCGATTTTTAGTAGTTTATTCCGATGCCAGTGTTTGATTCTCATAACAATGTGGATTTTTGATTTACCACAGCACACTACTAGAAATCATTCTTATTTAAATAGTTGTAATTAATGGTAATACATATTTAATATAGTAAATCAAGTATTAATATGTATTAATAAAAATAAACATTAATTAAAATTAGAATTGATTAGAAAAACTAGAATTGATTTTGGCCAATACCAAATAACCATTAATTATTTCTGCTTTAGGACCAATAATGAATATGATCAAATCTACCGAAATTATAATTCTGTTTGGTTTTGCCTGCTTCTAATGTTGTCCTATTCAGGAGTGTGTTTCCCAAAATCAACGATGCTGTTGGGAATCACAATCCAGACCGATATGGTAATAAAAAAGTGCTAATATTGGCCAATTTACCATGAATCCCTAGTTCAAGACTACAGGTACTACACACATTCAGGCCTGGCTCTTTAAAGGGATAGTTCACCCAAAAATGAAAATTCTGTCATCATTTACTCACCCTCATGTTGTTCCGAAGCTGCATGACATTCTCTCTTCTATGGAACAAAAAAGAAGATATTTTGAAGAATGTTGAAGAACTTTGGAGCCCATTGACATACACTGTATAGACGAAACAACAACTACACTGAGACATATTTTTCGCAAAAGAAAGTAATTCATACAGTTTTGGAACAAAATCAGGATAAATAAATTACAGAATTTTCATTTTTGGGTAAACTCTCCCTTTAGGTGCTTCCAAGTAGAGACGGCAGCTTCAGTTTATTCAGTGCATTCAGTCCTTTGTGAAATTAAATATCAATAATCAATCACGTCTTTACCCCAGTGATTCAGCAGCTGAAATGCAGTGTTTTGTTTGGAGGGGTTTGCCTGTGTAAAACCTTTGAGGTTTTGCCTGAGAATGGTTTTAGAGGCTTATAGACGTGCTGTCGCTGCCTCCTGTTGAGGCACATCACTGAGACACAGCGAGGGGCTTCAGTCTGACAAGTGTCAGTGTGTTATGAGTGAGAGCAGGGTGTTAGGGTTAGAGGGAGGGGTTTAGATTAAATACCAACCAATTAGCAGAGCTCTTCCTCACTCGCTCTCTCTCGCTCTCTCTGTGTCATCTTCACTGCTACTAGCATCTCAAGCAGGTGTCCCTTTGTTATTTTCACAGCTAACTTATCAATCGCATAGAGCATGGGGAGTCTTTTCTCTTGTGGGAATAGCCAAGCATGGGTTGTATGTACTCTAACGAAAC